CCCTGTGCCACCACCACCACCTGGTACCTGGGCACCCCCTGCGCCTTCGCAGCCTGCGGAGAAAACCAGCCGGGCTCCAAACCCGCCCAAAAACCAGCAGGGCAAGGGGGAGCGGGACAAACTGGCAAGAGGACGGGCTTAGATGTGCTATGAATGGACATTTGTCTAGCTGAATGAAAATGAAAAAAATTAAAATATTGATTTTGCAATCCAATTCTATCTAGCCAGCCACAAGGAAAGAACAGAGCCGAGCCCGGGGTCGGCCCTGGGTGTGCAACAAAGAAATCAGTGGGAAAGAACAACAAAGAAAACCTCAGCAAGGTTTTTCTCTATGCCCACACACCTCCATCCTGGCACAAGCGGTTTTTATAAAGAAAATTCCGCCTGAAACCAAGATTTCAGCAATCAGCCTTTTCTTCCATTCAAAGTCTAGAGGTTAATAAGATTTGCTTTCTTAATAATAAAGAAAAACAATTCAGTGTCCAGAGTTATTGAATGCCTTAATAAAGTTTACAAAAACGCTACATTCACGTGTATCTGCCCAAAAATGTCCCTAATGTCTCTCTCAAGTCGTTCACGCAGTGATCAGCGCCCAAGGTCTCCATATGTCACCAAACGTGGCCCGTCTCCTTATAGATAAATTTCTTATAGATAAATGTCTAATATACACCAAGTCTCACCTGCAGAGGTAGGGCAGACTCCCAACACAAAGGTGTACGCTCTAACAAATATTCACTATCACATATATCGTATTAAAAATAGCGCAAATTACATCAACTGCACATAACAGATGGGATATCGGGAATTGGGAATTGTGCCCTGGGAGGGTGGGGAGGGGCTGGGATGGAATTCCCAGAGCAGCTGCGGATCCCCGGCAGTGCCCAGGGCCAGGCTGGACACCGGAGTTTGGGATTCCCGGGACAGCGGGAGGAGTTCCCGGGGCTGGCTGAGCTTTTCGGTCCCTTCCATCCAAACCGGCCGTAAATCCATTCATTCTCTCGCATAATCCGCATTCTGAGCGACCGCCGCCTCCAGCCCTTCTCGCACACTTTACCGGCACTCGGGGGATTCTGGGCCACGGGGCCGGGTCCCGTTCCCGTCCCACCTCGGCGATGTCCCGGCACGGCCCGGCTGCAGCGCCGCTCCCGATCCCCAATTCCCGGTCCTGGATCCGCCCTCCCAATTCCCAATTCCCAATTCCCGGTCCCGGATCCGCCCTCCCAATTCCCTATCCCCAATTCCCGGCCCTGGATCCGCCCTCCCAATCCCCAATTCCCAATTCCCGGTCCCGGATCCGCCCTCCCAATTCCCTATCCCCAATTCCCGGCCCTGGATCCGCCCTCCCAATTCCCAATCCCCAATTCCCGGTCCCG